TTTCTGTTATGTGTCATGTAAATATATGCAGTAAAACGCTGTCACTACTAGAATTGGAAGAAAAATACAGTAAAAGAATCATGGATGAGTTTTCGTCAATCGGAGGAGAATCAGCAAATTGGCATTTGAAATCTTTTTTAAATAGTATTTTTACTATTAAATAATTTCGAAATTCAAATCCGCTTAGGACTTTTAATTTTTGTTATTATCTAGATGTTAGTTGTTAATTAGAACTAGTCATTAATCAAAGTTAATTGTTAGTTAGGGTTTTTTTAGTTGTTACAACGAATAATTGTAACCGTAATGGTAAATGGGATTTTTTTATTTTGAATTAAAATAAATTATTAATTGTTGAGATTTTCTTCAATTTTCAATTCAAATTAGTATCCGGACACCAATCAATGATTTGTTGATCAAAGTGAACATTCGGTATTCTAGTAAAAATTAACAAATATTTTAGAGCTGCCATGCTACATCACGTATACAAGCAAATTTTAATTTTCTTTTTAATATATATTTTTCTAAGAAGCTATTTTAGCTAATTTTTTACCCTTTTTTTTAAGTTTAATGCTATACTTCCAAAAAAGCAAAAGAGTGAAAAAAAAGAGTATGGATTAACATGGTCCGATTCGGTTCTAAAAAGAATCCAACCGATCTGAACTTGAATTTTTGAGTATTTAGTAGGTGGAACTGTAGGGTTCAAATTTAATTATGAAACCGTTCAGGTGCAGTTCGTTTCGATTTTATTCACTTCTTGAGTTTCATACAGTAATTAAATTTTTTAATATTTACAACAATAGTGCATTAATTCAACTAATGATATAGTTAAATAATATGTTTAATCCTAATTCTAATAAAATAATGTAGTCCAATCTAATGAATTTTTTTATGCCCTTCTTTGTTGAATTATTCATAGATTTGATTGTTATAATCACAAAAAGAGGAAGACAGCAAGTTCACAATGATGAAGAGAGGCGTAGTTGAACTTTTAATTCGATTTTCTCTAGAACTGTAAAAATGGCATGATGATAGAATAATATATTTGGATAAAATTTATGTGAATTTTGATTAAATAGGACTTTAATTGAAAATTAGAAATATAAAAGAAATTATATTTTGGATTTGTGCTAAATTAATTAGTTAGCAAATTTATTTAGAAAAATAAAATAATTTGACTTATTTAAAAAAAATAATTAAAAAATAGAAAAAAATTGGTTCTTATTCAGTTCCGGGTCTAGAATTGAGAACCGAATCAAACCCATTAGTTCTTGATTCAAATATTTGTTCGAGTATATTAATTTAAAAAGAACCGCTCAATTCCATTCAGTTCGAATTAGGTTGGGCCCGTTCAATCCCATTCAATTTTGGAGTTTTGTCCAACCCTAACATTTTGACAAGCAATTATCTTGAGAAAAAAATTCACAAGTCATGTATTAAGTATGTACAATTCAAAAAATAGGTTTTATGTTTAAAAAAATGCAAAAATTAGGTACTAATTAATTAATTAAAAATATTGATTAATTAAACATAATAAGGTTATAACTTATTTATTTGTTGCATAATATCAAATTAATTAATCACATATTATTTTGAGGTCACAAATAAATTTTTTTT